GGGGGGGGGGGGGGGGGGGCTGGGAAGGAGTTGTTCAAGGCCAGCAGGGACTGATCAATCAGGACATCATCTCAGCAGCTCCAAGGGACCGAGGGAGGTGGAGTAGGGGCCTGTGGCGGAGAGGAGGGAAGGTCCCTTGGGATAATACAGAGGGCGGTTTCGTACACTGGAGCCCCCAGGGAAAAGGCCCCTCCCCAGCTTCTGTCTCCTGCCCTGCTCCCAGGGAGCCTGCCTATGTCCATAGCTGCCACAGCCCTTGGGTCCTCATCCTGGTCGGAGGAAAGAGACTTTCTGGAGCACTTCTGGGGGTTCGGTGACCCTAGCACCTCCCTGGGCCTCCTCACCCAGCTTCTTCATCTCCCCAGCAGTGAAAGGGCAACCCCACTGTCTGCTGGAGATGGAAGAAAACGTGCTCTGCAGGCTAAGCACGGATGGGTTCACACACCTGGATCAGCTCTGCACCCCACCATCGTCTCTGCTCCCTGGCTAAGTGCTGTGTTGGGAAAATAAAGTCACGCTGCAGCCCACACTCCCGCCAGCCCCTGGGGTGTCTATGCCTCTGCCCCTTGACAATGATTACACGGCTGGTGGAGCAGAGCCGGCTCAGCTGCAGCTAACTCTCCACTTGGCCCTGCCTCTCCTCCGGGAGGGCTCAGTCTCTAACACGGGCTGGGAGAACCTCCGGACCACCAGCCCCATCGCCTCAGAACCCCAGCTGGTCAGCTCATTAGTCTGGGCTAATGGGCCCCGGGGCCTGGGGCAGTGAGGGGCAGTGAGTGGGCTGTCCACGTAAGCAAGCCCTGCCTTTGGCCAGCCTGGGCTAAGTTTATGTCCCTCTGCCTTGGCTAGGAGGCAGTGACCTCGGGCAGCCAGGGCTGGCCACACTCACCGTAGACACAGAGGAGCTGGCTGGGTCCTGAGAGCAGGCCTCTGGCCCTCCCGCCCAGGCCAGGGCTGGGCTCTGTGCACACAGAAGGGTCCCAGCGGCGGTGCCGGTCATCAAAGCATGGGCCCTCCATCAAGGGCCTTTGCCAAGACGGGGGTGGCTGGAGAGGGGACTTTTGGCAGAAGAGAGAGGAACAAGACTCATGAGTGAATCTGAAACAGTTTGCTGAGCAGCCCAAAAATCAAGAGAAGGAGGGAGAAGGATGCCTGTGTGGACAGAGCTTATTCACCGTCTGCCCAGACTTGGGCGGTAGGGCTATCAGAAGACAGACACGCTGCCACGTGGCGCTCAGGGAGACCTGCCGCAGCAGCTTCTAAACCCGGCACACCAGAGCCACTGGAGCTTATCCCTAACTGGTAACTGGGAAAATGCTTAAGGAAAGGCGACATAATAGTTTAGTTCAACATCAACATACCCCTCTCCTACGTTCAACAGTTGTTAACACTTCACTATATTTCTTTTATACACACACACACACACACACACACACACACACACACACGTACACTGGTTGCAAGCATCATCACACAATGCTTCCGAATCCTTCTGCCTGCACCTCCTAAGAATAAAGGCATTTTCTTCCATATTCACAATATCATGTTCACCCTCAAAAAATAATTTGCTATTATTTTAGCCCACACAATTTTTTGAAAAGAAAAGAAAAAAATACAGATTCCTGGACCCAGCGATTTGGGAAGACAGAAACCAGCAGCCAGGAATCTATATTTTAAGTGTTTCCAGTGGCTCTCACGTATCCAGCCCCCGCACTGATTTGGGGCAACCGGAAGGACAAGACAGGGTCAAGTCACTGCTTAGCAGCTAGGGCTGAGGAGAAGGCACCTCTGTGGTTCTCAGGAGGGGGACAGGCAGCCTGGGCTGCAGACCCCACGACTGACCCAGGGGAGGCGCTGTGGGGAGGGGAGAGGGGGCAGAACAGACTCCCCCGTGGGGAATGCACCAGAATCCCAGGCCAAAGGCCTCTTCTCTCCAGACTTTGGCTCCTCTGCAACAACCCACCAGGGAGAACAGGCTTTTGCTAAATCTGCCCAGACACCACCCACAATTCCAGGGTCCTGGGACAACTGTAGGGACCCTGGGCACAGCTAGTCTGTAGCAGAAGGTCTGTCACCCAAGGTCCAGGCCACCTCCTTTCACTGCCCAGGAAAACATTTTTTCTCCTTGGCTCCTGCCCCCACCTCTGGCAGCACCCGGGCTCCCAGCAGGAGTGGAGAGCTACTCAGAGCAGGAAATGCAACCAGAACTCTTGAAGCCATTACTCCTGGCTCCGAAGGCGCTGCCTGTCTTGCCTCTTGACCCGAACAACCTTGACTGCTCGAAACTAGCTCTCTGCTCCCCAATCTGACAGCCTGACAGATGGCACAATTAAGTCTCCCAATCCCTCTCCTCTGTCACACACACACACACACACACACACACACACACTCACACACACTCACACATACA